TATGTGGCGCACTTGCAGTGTTTTCCCTGCATTGACACGAGCGAGGCGGGCCGCCTCACTCAAATGGGGTACCGGCGGAACTAATCCGCAGCGCGGCGCTGATCGTCAACTCGGTTATTCAATGCAATTGTAATTGTAAAACACTTTAGTCAGGTCCCTTAGCTTCATGATCGTTACAGAGCTGACAAAAGCATCAAACTTGGCACAGTTGCAGCCTATGGCAGTACTATAAATATTAGAGGGGGTGCACAATGTAGATATTCCTTAGATGTGAATTACGGATGATTAAATGTTAGAACCGCGCCCACCTGTACTGGCGCATTGCTGTTAACCACCCCCCTTCCCCCGCGCATACGCTATTGCGCTATAGGCGGCGTGAAAGTGTATTAACTCTCATATCTCGCGAACGAATTGAGCTACATTTCTAGAAATCTAGATACATATAAACTCGCCAGGCTATCGTCGAGCCCCGCCATCCTAAAATGCACCCGCCACGCTAAATATCGTAGCCGCCATGCTGGTGTATACACAAGAAGTTCAAACAATTAATACACGTTGGTCTCGATGCTACGGGTGCGGCAGTCCCACACACAAGTACAAACAGTATCCCTATCCCTAACCCTAACACTAACTCTAATTTCTAAACCGACTCGGCTATCTTATATACGAGTGTCATAGTACCAAAATTAATCGATGGTGTATAACCTTTTGCTTTAAATATTTTGCATCTGAACTGACAATCAATCCCAACCAACTGGTGTAGGCTAGCTGGCACAATAATCTTCATTTTCATACTTCAAATCCGAGTGTTTTGTAGCTCATCAATAAATCTTAATCGTGAATTAAATCGTGAATTAATTTCCAACGGCATTATTACGGGGCAGGTAACTCAGTCTAACACGAGGTAGAGTAGACTGGTACACTTACCGACCACTCCTGCCATTGTCAATGGTGACAAAAATTTTTTTATTTATTTATGAGAGGTGAACTCGATTTGGAACCAGCAAACCAGCAAGTTCACCCCTACATTTTGGTATTTTTATTCCATTAATTATTTTGAATTTTTCGATGGCTTTGCCAATGCAAAACAAACATTTTCACCCCACATGCAGTGCTTCAAATTTACACACAGAGTGTCCCAGATTGCATCTCAGAGCTTCTACAATTAAAAAATGTTCTGGGGCGGCATCCCTAGCAGTGAGTATAGCACCCCATGCTATAAATATAATTGAAAAGCTTGGAGAACCCTGAACATACCTTGATTTACTGACTGATTTTACTGACTTACTGTAATTTGTGATCATCATTTAACTGTCTATCGTGTCTATAGCTTTTTAAGCTCATTTAACACAATTTTTATTGAGGTTTGCACATTATTGATGGTACAAAATTTCTTTTTATTACAGGCAAGGATTCTTTCTAAAAATAAGGACTTTTCAAGCACAAATTCAACATTTACTAAATTCAAGTACTTTTTAATGACTCCTCAAATTCAAGGACCTTTCAAGGACTGTGCGAAGACACGATCCTTATCTGTTACAGACGGCCGCAGCTACGAAAAGTGACAGCGTCACTTACGAAAAGTGACAGAGTCACTTAAGCCCGGCGTACATTGCCGAAAATTTTGCTCAAAAACATTGTCGTAGCAATGTTCCACGAAATGTTCGGCAATGTGCGTTGAAAAATGGCACCGAACATTTGTTCCGAACAATGTTTCTAAAGATCGGAAATGTTTGATATCTCGAACATTGTTCGTCGAATGTTCGTCAATGTGCGCTGAATGTCGAACAATTCTAGGAAAATTTGTAAAGTAGTAACCAATAGCAGCACGATATGTGGTCACATAGTCATATTTACGCCGATCACGTGACTCTTTACAACACAGCTACTAGACGGCGCGACGAGGTTGTTCGCTGCAAAATGTTCGGCAATGTGCGCTCAGCAATTGTTCACCCGCACATTGCCAGACAAAAACGTTTGTTCGGGAAAATGTTTGGCAATGTGCACCAGGCTTTACACTATAGTTTTACACAATAGAGCTCTCAGCCACTATACAGAACAAAACCTTATTTTAGGTTCAAGTTGTGATTTTTACAAGACATTGCCTGTAAATCTCACACAACTCATGGTTCGCAGCACAGTCCTTGAAAAGTCCTTGGATTTGAGGGGAGTCATTGAAAAGTACTTGAATTTAGTAAATGTTGATTATGTGCTTGAAAAGTCCTTGAATTTCATGATAATGTCTTTGAATTTTTAGAAAGAATCCTTTCCTGTTACAGGCAAGGATTCTTTCTAAAAATTATTGATGGTACAAAATTTCTTTTTATTACAGTCACTGTAATAAAAAGAAATTTTGTATCATCAATAATGTGCAAACCTCAATAAAAATTGCGTTAAATGAGCTTAAAAAGCTATAGACACGATAGCCAGTTAAAAATGATGATCACAAATTACAGTAAGTCATTAAAATCAGTCAGTAAATCAAGGTATGTCCATGGTTCGCACAGTTCTTGTAAAGTCCTTGAATTTGAGGGGAGTCCTTGAAAAGTACCTGAATTTAGTAAATGTTGATTTTTGCTTGAAAAGTCCTTGAATTTTTAGAAAGAATCTTTGCCTGTAATAAAAAGAAATTTTGTACCATCAATAATGTGCAAACCTCAATAAAAATTGCATTAAATGAGCTTAAAAAGCTATAGACACGATAGACAGTTAAATGATTATCACAAATTACAGTAAGTCAGTAAAATCAGTCAGTAAATCAATATATGTTGTAGAAGTGACAGTGTTTAGAAGGGTTTATTAATGTAATCCAGGTAAGTTTTAGAGGTGACAGTGATTAAGAATGGGGTTATTATTAAATTAATCCAGGTATGCATGTTTTGTTCTGTGTATGAATTCCGATAAAATGTCCGATAAAATGTCATTGAAAAGTCCTTGAAAATTTTTTCAGTCCTTTATGAACCATTGTTGTAGAAGTGACAGTGTTTAGAAGGGTTTATTAATGTGATCCAGGTAAGTTTTAGAGGTGACAGTGATTAAGAATGGGGTTATTAAATTAATCCAGGTATGTTTTGTGTTCTGTGTATGAATTCCGATAAAATGTCCGATAAAATGTCCG